TAACAAAAACTATCAAATTCTAACAAACTATACCCATCTAATCTAATAAATATGCAACAAGAATTTGATTTTATAGTGTGTCTAAAACCTAGAAGCGTTCTAAGAAGATTAATTATCGGACTTAAGTTTATAAAACCAAAAAAATATCACATATCATATCTAAAAGTGTTACAATATGTTTATATGACACTTTTAAGAGTTTTAACAAGTTTTTTAGGATCTTAAATTAATGTGGCATATTAACTATTTTATATGACACTATTTGAAAGTGTATAGAAAAAATGAGTTTATAGGACACTTCTCAAAAGTGTCATATAAAATAGCTAATATGATACTTTATTTTAAAAATGTCCTACAAACTTGTTAAAACGTCTAAATAAACCTATTATAACGCTTTTAGATAGGACACTTTATAGTTTGGTCCTATAAACCTAAGTTCTATAAAACATAATATTAATTATGACACTTAGACAATCTAGGCTTCTTATAAAACCTATTTTATTGTAGTGATATTTGATTCCATTTTGTTTCCTAGTTTAGAGCCATGATCATAATGAATGGATTTTATCATCTTTTATATGTACATTTCAATGATAATTAATGAATCATGATAAGTGTTGATATAAGTTGAGAATTCAATATATAAAGCATTCGTTTTACTTATTATTAGCTAGATTATTTTCTTTTTATTCCCACTTTGAGTCATTTTTATTAATTTCTTTATACGTTTGTCATTATGGAGCTAAATATTGTGGTTGACTTGTTGGTACTCAAAAGAGGAAGCTAATGGAATTTTTTGTTAAACAACTTGATGCTACAGCATTGGAGCAGCGGCGATCTGATACATGCACGACTTTTTGGAGAACTTATTGATTAAGCTACTGCCTTTTTGAGCTTTGTGGAAGACGGCTGGAGATTGCTGGAATCTGGGATTAAAACTCTTGTTAGGAATATTATACTATCTAGTTCCTCTAATTGTACTTTAAAGTTAGTTTTAGGAAGCTTAGCCCTAAGTTTTGTCCTTTTGTCTTTTAGTGAGTCCTTGGTGTATAAAAGGAGGGCTTGAGTTTCACTTTTGCATACATTCTAACAACATCTAGCTCTAAAAATCAGTCCTATCCAAAGGGTGATTTGTAGTTAACTTTTGAAGAAATACAAGTTCTTAATTTTTAGTTTTTCATTTTTAATTTCTCGTCTTTTAATTTTCGCTCTTTATTTTACGTTCCTTTACGTTTATTATCATTTACTTTCCGTTATTTAATTTCCGCAATTTACATTCTCATCATTTATTTTCTCGTCATTTATTTTCCGCAATTTACATTTATGTCTTTACTTTCCGTCATTTATTTTCATTGTAATTTGCTTTCCGTTATGAGTAGCTAAGCTTTTATAGCTTGGGTGTGAGACGGAAAAGTGAGATTTTCAAAAAAAAAAGAAAGTAGCTAAGTGTTTTCATAAACGATGTTCCATTGTTTTATTCGAGTTTTTATAAAAACCAAGTACACTTCTTGACGGGTTGATCACTTTGAAAGTGTTAAAGTGCCTTGGACTTAGAGATAAACCATTGAATGCACGTCAACTTGAATGATATAAGAGGTAGACTTGAGAAAGTTGCCGACAAGGAGACTTGTCATTTATGTCCTTCAAACTTAACTCCCTACGGGTTGGTCACTCTTTGAAAGTGTCAAAATGCGATAGATTCAGAGATGAACTATCTTAAGAACACACGCCAACTCGAATGATATGGGAATCGACTCGAGAGAGTGATTATTAACAAAGAGATTTGTTTATCCATATATTTTGAAGACACCATCTTGTCACTATCCCTGGTCCGGACACCACATAGAGATATGGGTGGAAAGTTATAGTATAGTGTAATGGTGAAGTCCGAGAGGAATGCCTTCAAAATAGATGGTGGAACTAAGTTTTTGAAACACTGTTTGCTGTAGCATTCATACAGCATTGGCTACTGGAATTTGTGTTTGGGTCTAACCTTAAGTCTTACACCCTTGCTATCTTTATATATTCTGTAATCTGTTTTAAATCACCTTAACATCAAACTGAAGTTTCAAAATCGTCATATGAAATCATCTCTTTCATTGGACTCTCATTTAACTTTTGCTACAATCTCCGTGAACGATAATCCGGTACTTGTACCATTTTATTACTTGGAAAGACGATATTGGACCGTATTGTATACTTGCTTTGTGGTCCATTTCATTAGTCTAAAGGTATGAGATATAACCGACCAATTGTCTATAAATTAATATCTCTATAGTTTTATAATATAAACATTGATTATAGTTTAAATAGTTTGTTAAAACCAGATGGATTGTAAATGAAATGTCCCCTATATATAGAGCTATTTTCACGCGGGACTACCCTATTTTCGTAAGACCCACGAGACCATAAAATAACACTAAAGCTTTACACCAAAACATTGTGAAAGTACGAAAAACACCGATCATTGACAGTAAAAACACTGATCCTAACCACAAGGGTGGTGCCTGATTGGTTGGAGTTTGGGCTCCAAATGTCAAAAGTGTCAGGAGGTCATAGGTTCATATTCAAGGACGAAGAAAGATCGCTTTGTAGCCACAAAGGTTCAAATGTGGTGACTCCGGACTACTCGCAAAGCAAGTAGTCGTCCTAGGATTAGTCGGCTCGCATAACAGGTGATAAAAAAAAACATTGATCCTACAAAAGATAGAGTAAACTTAAGCAATTATATTTCGACAACAAAGCTCACTCAAATTCGCCTGCAGACAACCCGAGAACATATATCTCATCGAACATCCAATGAACATTGAGAATTAAGACCCCCGATCAAACTCTAGAATAAAATTCCACTATGTTGTGCACTGATCTCGAATGATAGAGTCGAAATACAAATCAAACTGGAAGTCTACGAAATCTGAATTTCCTCGTAAAAATCCATGCTTTTCTACAAACAAATTGCTACGTTTTAATTATGTCATCAAGAGAAATATATATATGAAAGCTACTAAAGAAGTTATGAATCATACAATCCTTATTAAACATAATTTTAAAAGATAATTTAATAAATATTTTCTTTAAAACAAAAAATGTTGTAATAAAAATATGACGAAAATTAGTATTACGTGTTTTGTGTTTTTAGAAGCAAAGTGGTTAGTAGGATCCAGCATGGCCTGTGGCTGTTTGCCGCGTATACCTCATCATTAAAAAAACTAACCCAAAGTCAAAAGTTGACCTACCATTACTGACTTCAAAACATTATTTTATTTTAATATTTCTTTTATTTACAATTTCCATGATTAAATTATTCTTCACAAATGCCGCCGCTACCATTCGCCAAATCCTGTTAAAGTTTTTAATTTAGTAAAAATAAATTACATTTTTCATACTTATATTTATTTAATTTTTGTTATGTCTCTTGTTTTTTGATTTTATATTTTTACTATACTAATATAATATAATTGTGTAAAACCCAAAATACATGAAAAAAAATATGTTTTTTACAAGTTATACCAATAATCGTCTCGTTAATACATGAATCCAATATTGAATAATATTGTATTTAATCTTATATTATTAAATATAATAAAGCTTATGAATTATTTTTTATAGTTATATTTTATATCCTTATAGTTACATATTATGTTGTTAATATAATAAATGTGTAAAATGAAAATAGACTAAAAATACATTAAATAAATAATCATAAGCATAGAAAATGCAAGTTTTAAATTCATGCATATTTATGATATTTAAAAATATAAGATCAAATCCAACATTATTCAATATTGGACTCATTTTAAACATATTGACGAGATGATAACAACGGTATAATTTGTAAAAAAAAGACGTATTTTTTTATATTTTAGTTAATATACGATTATATATATTAATATACTAAATGTCAAAAATAAAACAATAATATATATAAAATAAATTAAATAACTAATTATACGTAAAAAAAAAAAAGGGATTTTATGTCGTAAAGTCTCATTTTTCCCCAATATAATTTTTTTTTTCCTTATTTAAAGAAAAGGGTTCCTAAAATGACTAAAAATTGATATCAATTATATGAAACTAGAAGGGTACTTGCGCAATGCAACGAGATATATATCTTGATTTTAATATTTCATTTTATTATTTATCTCATGGGATGTTATATTATGGTCTTATGTGATTTTGGAAAAAAAAATGATGTTTTTATTTTTAATAAAATATAAATTTGAAGATATCATAAAAATTTGACAAAAATATATCGATATTAGTATAAAATTAAATATTTAAAATTCCTTATTTTTTGTGTAATTTTTAATTCAATTTTTTTTATTATAATTTAAGTTAGGTTCAATAACGAAGTAATTTATATTTTGTTTAATAATATAATTCTCTTATAAAGATAATAATTAATTATTTTGTTAGAACTTGATAATTATCTTGATTATATTTTAGATTTTTTATATTTTAAAATAAGATGTTTATCATTTATTTGATTATGTTTATCTGCAGTTAGTTACACGAATTCAAAAATGGAGTTTTAATAAGTTGTATTTGTGCATAATTTACTTGTAATATGCATCAATGTACAATACTTCATGCATAAAAAATAGTTTTTAAGAATTTTTGTCAAATGTTTTATAATATAGTATAGATGACTAGCTATTTGAATATTTAATTTCTCAGTGTTCTAGTCTAATAAATTCACTTTCACGATTTGTTTATTAATACTCATCATTATTAAGAGGTTATGTAAAACGTCATTTTATGGGAGAGAATATTGTTCATTAACTCTTACTATTTTTAACGTCACTAACTTATTTGTTTAATTAAATTAGACCACGAACTACCATAAGAAACTTCCTAACTTAATTCTAACCGTAGATGTCCAAATCAGCTTGCATACACATTGACTAATTCCAAGTATTCTAAAACAAATCCCAACTTACTTATATAGGATCCAGACCGATAACCTTAAAAAACCCATCACTAATCCCATAAATCCATTGTCGTTTTCAAAGAGTGTTATAAATAATTTTGTTACTAGACGCATAAATTTATGTAAAAAGCAACATTTCATTTATTCTTCTATCGTACCAAGAATGGATTTGCAAATGAAAGAAGCATATTCCACTTCTTTTGATGCATAAAATAGACTACACTTTCTCTGCATCAAGTAATCCCCAGAAAGGAATAAAAAGGAAAAACTAAACTCAATACAACATCATATTGAGAAAAAAAAATGAAATTAAAGAACTCGATTACAAAAAATCCACACGTTTATTATTTGACACCAATTGATCGTCACATCGGACTACGTACCGTTCCTCCCCGACTTTGCGGTAGTGAACGATAGTGAAAAAAACCCATTTGGGCAGTGACTTCAATCTTCTTGGATTTCCGATCAGTGGCTGCCGGCGACGGCTTTGATTGCTTTCCTTCGTCATGGAATCAACAAACGAACTCAGACGTTGCATGGCCAGAACTAGGGTTTCCTTCGACATGTTGGCAAAGCAAACCCTAAACCAACCGGGTTCACTGCAATGGCATGATGAACCGGGCGAGATGTTCAACCCGACATCATACACAATCTTCTTCCATAACTCCATTTCCCCTTCAAAAGTTGGTGAACTCAAAAGGTGTCTCATATCAACCCAACTGAATAAACCGGCATTGCTCTTGAGACATCTAATACCGGCTTTTTGTAGGGCCTTTTCCATCATTTCATGCCTTTGTTTCAGCCTTTTTCGATTCTCCCTCAGATAGTTTTTGGTGAATTTCTTATCGGATAGCATTTCTGATAGTAGGTATTGAGTTTGAGAAGAAATTAACCCGAAGCTTGACATTTTCGTTGCGGCGGAGACGACGATATCATCGTTGGAGTAAATTGCTCCAATCCGAAAACCTGGTAGACCAAGATCTTTGGAAAGGCTATAAACAATGTGAACTCGTTTCCACACCTCGGTGTTCATAAGACCCTTGTTCTTTAGGACCTCCATGATGCTAACGAAGCCCGGAGAGCAATAAACTGTGCCGGAGTAGATTTCATCGCTGATGAGATGGATGTTCTTGGAGGAGATAAAGTCGATGAGGAGTTCGAGTTCATGCAAGCTGAGTGACGTACCCAACGGGTTAGAAGGGTTTGTGACCAAAACCCCTTTCACCTTAAGGTTCTGGTTTTGTGCTTGTTGGTATGCCTCTTGGAGGGCAGATTTGGTGATCCTGAAACCATTGGAGCTGGAGCAGTGGATTGGTACGATCTCGGCTCCAGTTCTCCACTTGAGATCTCTATCAAACCTGTAAAGATTAAGACGTTAGGATTTGATCAGTTTTCTTGATGTTAAAAAGTGGAGTGATGAGTCTTAAATTAAGATGAACTGACCCTGGATAATATGGTGTGGGAAGGAGGAAAGCTTCGCCGGGATCAGCGAGGCAAAACATTAGAGTTTCATTGGCGGAGGTTGCACCGGCGGTGAGTACAAGATTGTTTGGATCGAAAGTTACTTTGTTTTCTCTTATCTCCGACATGAACTCGACTAATGCCTGTGAAATTACAAGCTGTGTGAATATATGTATATATATATATATATATATATATATATGTAGTTATAAAAGATGGAGAGATATATAAGCGAGTATAATGAATGAATGGTAGCTAACTAATTACGTTTTTGAAAGCAGGAAGGCCATGATAATCTTGGAAGAGAGCAAGTTGTTTGAAGATGGAGTGATGATTGATAGCGGCTGAATCTGGGTTGTTTTTGAGCCATGATTCTAGAAGGTCGAAGGAGAGTTGATTCTCGGCGAGACCCATTTGGATGATTCCATTGGGATTGTGAAGGTGGTGGTAAGGATTCTTCTCGTATTCCTCCCATCCAAGGAAGTAGGATGAATCTTGGCCGTGAGAGTTGCATGTGGCTTTTGCAGACAACATCTTGATTTTTGATATATGATTTTTGTATGTGTGTGTGTTTTTCTGTGAGAGAGTGAGAGAGAATATTGAAGAGTTGGATTGAGTGAGCAATTGGAGAAAGTATATATAGGAATTAGGAAGGGGAAGGATGCTAGCTGTAAAACAATAAAAGAATGCCACGTAAGACCATTGACTGGGGTTCTAAGTGGACTTTCTACAGCCGTTTTGTTTTTTTTTTAATTGTGAATAATGAAAATGCACACGCACTCCCCACACATATATAAACGTTATTTTATTCTAATTCTTTTTTTTCTCTAACCTTATCATCAACCAAAAGTAGATCATCTAATTAATATATATATATATATATATATATATTATAAGAGTACTCGTACAATAACATAAGATACATCTTGATTTTAGTGTTTCGTTTTATTCCGTCTCTATAGATATTTTAATACTGTGTTTATGTGGTTTTGAGAAAAGTATAATGTTTTTGAAAAAATATAAATTTAAAGAATATCATAAAATTTCGAAAATAAATATGTTAACATTAGTATTAAATTAACTATTTAAATTTTTTTTTGGTGTAATTTATTTAATTCAATTTTTTTATTATAATTTAATTTAGATTTAATAACGAAATAATTTATTTTGGAGTAAATAAAATATTATTTTTATAAGTATAATAATTAAGTATTCTGTTAGAATTCAATGATTATTCTAATTAGATTTTAGATTTTTTTTGTATTTTATTGTCTTTGATTATGTTTATCTACAGTTAGTTACATGAATTCAAGCATTAAGTTTTAATAAGTTGTATTTATGCACAATTTTCATGTAATCGTGAATTTTAAGTAATATATATCAATAAACAGTACTTCATGTATAAAAAATGGTTTTTAAGAGTTTTTGTCAAATGTTTTATAATATAGTATAGATATATAAAAAGCGAACTTCTTTTAAAAATTTACGGGTTTCTTATATCCAATTTAAACCCAAAAAAAATTAAAAACATATATAATAAATTAAAAAGTTTTTTCTTCTCTTTTCTTTCTCCCTTATTTTTCTCTAATATCTCTCTTATTTTTCCTATCCTCTTTTTTTCTTCATAACATATACACATACACACACAATTGAATATGAAATCAAACTGAGCACATCAATGTAAGCACATTCTTAGAATTACTTTTATGGTTTGTAAACATATTGTGAACATGCTTTATATCTACGATATCTAGTATATCTTGTGAACATAATATGAACACAAATTAAATCATTAAACTTAATTTAAATATACCACACAAATATCCTAGTAAAAATTTCATTAAGATTTTTTACATTGTGTTCACCTTGTGTGCGCAATGTAAATATTAATATAGAGATGAAAAAGAGAAGAGAGAGAGAGATTAGTATGGAAAATCCTTAAAAGATGCATTAATTTTGATCTAATAAATAAGAATAATTATTTCATATATTTTGGAATTGTAAAAAGATTAAACCATATATATATATATATATATATAATTATTTCACATATTTTGGAATTCTAAAAAAATTAAACCATATATATATATATATATATATATATATATTATCGTCAATTGTAGCGTTCAAGCTGGTTTATATGTAATTCAATTGATTTAATAAGGCTTCGAATATAAGTGTTAGAAAAAGTTTTGATGGTCATGAAAATATTACTCGAACTAGCTAGTAATTAGGTTTGCTCAAAAACTCTACTAACCCAATCAATCCAATCCAACGCAAAATAACTTAACCCGAAGTTTAATCGAGTTGTAAAATCTTCAAAATATAGGTATTGGATTGATATTGAGTTAATATTAATTGAACCCAACTCAACCCAATGAACATGATATCCTTTTATTTCTTGAAATTAATATGATTGTTGAGTTTTTATTAATATGTACATTAGACAATTACACTATCATGTATATTCTTCATATGCACATATTTTCAATATATTCTCCATCTATAAATAACTCATTAGTATATATATTTAGTAATTGTGGATATATATATATATATATATATATATATATATATAGACTTGGGATCATGTGAGACCAGCCTGTTTTCGTGAGACCTATGAGACCAACATTTTACACTTGAAACTTCACAGCAAAATGCTGTGAAGGTGACTTTTTAAAACCTTCACAGTGTTTTTGCTGTGAAGGTT